GGAAGAAGTAAAGTCGACCACTCTATTTGTTGACGAGTTTACCGAAGCCGGCCTTTTTAGGCAGCTGAAGTCAAGCCTGGGGCATAAGGCAATTGTTGGGAAAGAAGAGGTATCCCAATTCTTCGAGCAGATAATGGGGGTGAAGGAAAAGAGTAGACTTGACGTAGAACGCCTGATACAGCTTTATGACGGAGCGACATGGGTCTATACGAAAGCAGACAAATCTGCACGACAGGTATGCTATAGGGATACAAGTTGCTGTAGATGCCCGTGAGGTGACGTTCCCGAATTTTTAAACAAAATACTGAATACTATTTTCTCTATTTTGTCCAAGCAAATCACTACGGTATTTACTTGAATTTGGTAGTTTTTAATTATTGGTCGTAGGGTATGGAAGAAACTTTTAGGAAACGCACGCATCAACTGAAGGGGAAAACCCAAGTGATCAGTAAAGGAGATCACAATACCTTGTCTGACAAAAGGGTTTAGACATATGTTTCGTTGTGGAATAGGCTCTGTATTGCGAGGACCGAGAAGAACTATAACTGGGGTTGCTGGAAGAGAGTGATACACCCCAATCCAAAATTTAGAAGAGTAACCTCACTGCTTCCTCACTCCTCATAGAGGCGCGAGATTGTGCTTGTGCTTGGTACCACCCGATCGTTGTACAATTCCCGTTGCAATGCTGAGAGAAAACGAGAACTTGCTATCAGCTTTACTGACACAATAAAACTTGAACGGAAAACTGTCCCTTACGGCAGAGGAAAAGAGACACGAAAACAGAATAAAAACCAAAAATAGAATACAATATTCTTCGCCCGATGTTTTGGTTTGACATACATAACGTGTAAGGCGGCTAACGTAAGATTAATAGATACGTTAGAACTTTACAGTTTAAAAGTTATATATGCAAACTTCTTAACGTTTAAACTTTAACGTTATAACGTATGTATTCATTTTTGTGATAAATGCAAAATACTTAACATTTAGTTATTCACCACTGCCAGTATGGCTCAATGACGCTCGGCTTCAGACTAACATAGGTGTTTACACTGACTGTAGAATTTGTTCTGTTCAACATAGACCATTCAAAATCCTGGAGTGTCGATTGTAGGCTACAGCCAGCCGGAACGATTCTATCCAATCTACGCAAGATTGAAAGAGCGAAGAGACGGGGCCGTGGACAGGATGCTGATTTATCAGCCCAAGCCAAAGCGACTCACTGCCACAGAGACCAAACGTTTTATAACTCAATTACACCAATCACATGTCAAAGATTTGAGGTAAGCTTTTCGATAATTAAATGGAAACAAAACGAGTGATGACTGTTTTCTTCTAAGCAAATCAGGGCACAGCCATACTTAAATTTGTCAATGGTCGATATTTCATAATGAATCACAATGAAGGATTAAATTTAACACGAATTCTAGAAGTCCGTTGGTGTATCCAAGACCCCTGGAGGAGCCTCGTTCGCATGACTCTTTTTCACAAGTAAGATAGGCGAGAATCTCGGCTATTTTATAACTGATATGTTTTAAGTTTTTACAGCGCGCACTGATTATTTTAAATGGTTTTCAAACTATGTTTTAGTTAAATAAACTTATTCCTAACTAAATCAGCAATTTATTCCGGCAGTGTTGTATGTTTTTTTTAGCAATATTTCAAAAGGACCACTTTAAAATCAAGCAGGTGAAATTTGCACTTAAAAACTTTCATTGGCTCATGTTCAGCGAATTTTCTAGTTGAAACTAAAACAAACATCAATGAAAGGATTGGATGTGCGTATACTCTTTCCAATGTCGTTGACAGTTTTTCTCTAAAATTTGCATAACGAAGAGAGCACTGAAACAAATCTCGAAAGATGCGGCGGGGTTGGCAACAAGAAGCCTACTTTGAGTTTTTCACAAAAACGAGGCTTTGTTTTTGCAACAATTATTCGTCTCCCAAGATACATTCGGGCAGTGATAAAACCATGTGCGATTTTCACGATAGCGTCGTCGATCTCTGCAATCTCTGGACCAATCGAAGCCACAAATTTTGGCCGAGGAGACGTCCTTCATAATAATAATAATAATTTATATATCGCCTACAGACCTGTTCTATGCGCTTTACCATAATATGCTAATAATACTTGATACACATCGATCAATCATTTTCATTTAGATGTACAGCTTACGCAATGTATAATTATATAAAAGCAATATATATATATACAATAAAGTTTTTCGTAACTTAAACACACGACTGATTCATTGTATTTTTCTTTCCTAGATCGGTTTATGAAGGCATCTACACTTTTTGTCACGATGAAAATGACGTCCTCACATTATCGTTGGATGTGGACGGAAACACAGCTTTTGAGGAATTTTTGGACAAGATAGCGGAGCAGCTGAACAAGCAGTGGAGTGATAACAGCGAAAGTGAAGACGTCTCCAAAGATGATCGACACGTGTTGAGACTGGCGGCGGTGCTGCATTTGTTCTATGATCAGCTGAAGAAGAGGTTAGAAAGCCTTCCAGCATCACCGCCAGCTAATGTCGTCAACAAAGCGACGTTGAAGCAAGCCATCGCCTTAGCACACTATTTCGCAGAACAGCGAAAAGTGCTCGATCAGGTAATGGAAAATACTTTACATGATGCATCCAACGAATTCATACTTTATATGAGCTTTAATTAAAATCCGATGCACACACTGATTGGCTGGAGGGCTATTTCATATTTCCTTTAAGTATTCTGAAAGAAGCTATGTCGTCACTTTCCCTTAGAAGATGTTCAAGTCAGAAAGGGTTCTATCATTCTCCGCTGAGGTAGTCAAATCTGTTTACAATATGCAACAATATGCAACTCTAAAACAACGCCATGACGTGAGATATTAATTTCCTGATTCTGATAAATTATGTCCATCCGAGAAATCAATTGAGAGATACCAAAACGTTTGTAATTATCGGGTGGTCGCTACTTACGGAAAACGTTATTCCGAAATTCAGAGAACTGTGCATTTGATCAATTGCAAAGTTTACGACAAAAAACCGTTAAGTTTTTCGTCTGATAGTGTCATTGTATTTTAAGGTGTACATTATAAGATTTTATATTGATGTCTTTAACTTTACTCAGTTGCAGCTTGGAAACATGGAAACCGGCGCGGTAAGCAAGAAGGCAGACCCTAAATCCATAGCAAGTAGAGTACTAACCTGCCCTGGTCCTTTCTCGACCGTGCGGTTAGCACAATCCTCGATAAGTGGACATATTCGTCCAGCGGCAGTCACTATTGTTGAGATAATGCAAAATCTAGAGAGAGATGGTCTCGAAAGGTTATTGTCGTGGATAGAACCACTGTGTTTTATAAGAGCCTTCCGTGCAACGTTGACGAGGAGGTCCTCGGAAACTATGGTGTTATTCTTGGAAGCTACAGTAACCAATTCAAAGAGAGGTGAAAAGGTGACAAGGTGGATCTCGAAAGGGTTTATACCATTTCAGCGGAAGAAGACTGATCAGTGGTGATAATCGGTACAATCACGACTTTAATTTCAGCGAGAACATGCAATGCATCTATCAATCTCAAGGGGTAGGGGTTTTATTGGCATGGCCTGAATATCCACTGTTAGAGTTTTAGCATAATTTTTTGGGGATATTTGATCACCTGCACTTGCCCCAGGGTGATGAACTTTGATATTATGATAATGAGCAATCGTGTTGTCCCGGGAGTGGAACTTTAACATCTAGGAAAATGTCAAAATCACCACCCATACCCCCCTCCTTCTCCCCCGCCCCCCCCTTGATATTGCTTCAATCCGGGCTTGTAATTTTATATTTATACAAGGAAAACCCTTGTTTGCTAGATTTTTTAGCATAGGTTTGATAACATTTTGCACAAACGCGAATTTTAATATTTTTTCCAAGTTCAGTTGCATGTTAATTATAGACCCTTACACGGTTTCTGTTTCATATTAGTTGGGGGCAAACACGACAAAAATTACAGGAAATGTATGGGATTTTTATTAGACTGTACTGTGTTACTAGGAGAAGATATTTTGCTAAAAACGCGACTTAGTTATAATTGTTAATGTTTTACTGTTGGCGATGCCGGGTGTTTATTTTATTCAGGGTTGGATAGCGTGAGATTATAAACATGCTTATATCAAGAGTAAAAAATGCACTGCGTGTTAAGACTAATTCATAGAGTACATTCTGAAAAGAGAATCGAACTATTCTGAAATTTATCTGGATAATCAATAATACAAGAGAAATGTCAAAAATTTCACACTCATATTTGAAATGAATGCTTTTGAAATTGGTTCCTTTATCTAATAATGTCCAAGGATAATTATAGCTGCATATTTTTGAAGCCAAATAAATTAAAGTTTTTTGTGCTTCAATCCTTCAAACATTTTTGCTTAAAGCCGCGCGCGCTGGTTGTGAAAGTTACATAATGGCCTTTTTATGGCTTTTAGTCTTTTCACGAAGCCGATAGAAATCGTAATGTTTCTTGCTTTTACTTTTAACTGCGGTAATATTTTAGCTTTTCGTCATGAACAAAAAGTTAAATTCTAAAATCAACTTTTGCAAACATGTCACAAAACCAAGCGAAGGCCGCAACCACCTTATTTTCAATCTTGTCACGAAAAGCTTATCGCGGTCAAAATATTTTGAACGTGGGATATTGACGTTTTAGTGTGTTTCGGCTGTTAAGACAGCAAAACGTTCTTACACCCAACGAAGCGAATCTTGTTTGAACACTGGGGATTTCCCAAATTTTAATTGGGGCATATAGGACTACATAGTGTGACGTATTTTGACCATTCACACGCAAGCGAAAATATTTGAGGGATTATAAAGAGAAATAACGCCGTATTAAAATGATAGTAATAAGTTTTTAAATAATAAGTTTATTTAATGCATCTTAACAATAAAAATACAAAAATATTCCGCTCGTTAAAGTTGTACACTTTAAATCGCGTTTGTTAGCCGCATTTCCTACTGTTCTTACTGTTTCTCTGATCTTACTGTTCCTCTGTTCCTTCTGTTCCTCTGTTCCTACTGTTTCTACTGTTCCTCTGTTCCTACTGTTTATACTCTTCCTCTGTTTCCACTGTTCCTACTGTTCCTCTGTTCCTACTGTTCCTCCGTTCCTACTGTTCCTCTGTTCCTACTCTCCCTACTGTTCCTACTGTTCCTACTGTTCCTACTGTTCCTACTGTTCCTCTGATCTTACTGTTCCTACTGTTCCTACTGTTCCTACTGTTCCTACGTTCCTACTGTTCCTACTGTTCCTACTGTTCCTCTGATCTTACTGCTCCTACTGTTCCTACTGTTCCTCTGATCCTACTGTTGCTCTGTTCCTACTGTTCCTCTGTTTTCACTGTTCCTACTGTTCCTCTGTTCCTACTGTTGCTCTGTTCCTACTGTTCCTACTGTTCCTACTGTTGCTCCGTTCCTACTGTTCCTACTGTTCCTACGTTCCTACTGTTCCTACTGTTCCTACTGTTCCTCTGATCTTACTGCTCCTACTGTTCCTACTGTTCCTACGTTCCTACTGTTCCTACTGTTCCTCCGTTCCTCTGATCCAACTGTTCCTCTGTTCCTACTGTTCCTCTGTTCCTACTGTTCCTACTGTTCCTACGTTCCTACTGTTCCTACTGTTCCTACTGTTCCGCTGTTCCTACTCTCCCTACTGTTCCTACTGTTCCTACGTTCCTACTGTTCCTACTGTTCCTACTGTTCCTACTGTTCCTCTGTTACTACTGTTCCTCCGTTCGTACCGTTCCTACTGTTCCTCTGTTCCTACTGTTCCTAATGTTCCTCTGTTCCTACTGTTTCTCTGTTCCTAGTCTCCCTACTGTTCCTACTGTTCCTACTGTTCCTATACTGTTCCTCTGTTCCTACTGTTCCTACTGTTCCTACTGTTCCTCTGTTCCTACTGTTCCTCTGTTCCTACTGTTCCTCTGTTCCTACGTTCCTACTGTTCCTACTGTTCCTACTGTTCCTACTGTTCCTACGTTCCTACTGTTCCTACTGTTCCTAATGTTCCTCTGTTCCTACTGCTCCTACTGTTCCTACTGTTCCTCTGATCCTACTGTTGCTCTGTTCCTACTGTTGCTCTGTTCCTACTGTACTGTTCCTCTGTTTTCACTGTTCCTACTGTTCCTCTGTTCCTACTGTTCCTCCGTTCCTACTGTTCCTCTGTTCCTACTCTCCCTACTGTTCCTACTGTTCCTACTGTTCCTACTGTTCCTACTGTTCCTCTGATCTTACTGTTCCTACTGTTCCTACTGTTCCTACTGTTCCTACGTTCCTACTGTTCCTACTGTTCCTACTGTTCCTCTGATCTTACTGCTCCTACTGTTCCTACTGTTCCTCTGATCCTACTGTTGCTCTGTTCCTACTGTTCCTCTGTTTTCACTGTTCCTACTGTTCCTCTGTTCCTACTGTTGCTCTGTTCCTACTGTTCCTACTGTTCCTACTGTTGCTCCGTTCCTACTGTTCCTACTGTTCCTACTGTTCCTACGTTCCTACTGTTCCTACTGTTCCTACTGTTCCTCTGATCTTACTGCTCCTACTGTTCCTACTGTTCCTACGTTCCTACTGTTCCTACTGTTCCTCCGTTCCTCTGATCCAACTGTTCCTCTGTTCCTACTGTTCCTCTGTTCCTACTGTTCCTACTGTTCCTACGTTCCTACTGTTCCTACTGTTCCGCTGTTCCTACTCTCCCTACTGTTCCTACTGTTCCTACGTTCCTACTGTTCCTACTGTTCCTACTGTTCCTACTGTTCCTCTGTTACTACTGTTCCTCCGTTCGTACCGTTCCTACTGTTCCTCTGTTCCTACTGTTCCTAATGTTCCTCTGTTCCTACTGTTTCTCTGTTCCTAGTCTCCCTACTGTTCCTACTGTTCCTACTGTTCCTATACTGTTCCTCTGTTCCTACTGTTCCTACTGTTCCTACTGTTCCTCTGTTCCTACTGTTCCTCTGTTCCTACTGTTCCTCTGTTCCTACGTTCCTACTGTTCCTACTGTTCCTACTGTTCCTACTGTTCCTACGTTCCTACTGTTCCTACTGTTCCTAATGTTCCTCTGTTCCTACTGCTCCTACTGTTCCTACTGTTCCTCTGATCCTACTGTTGCTCTGTTCCTACTGTTGCTCTGTTCCTACTGTACTGTTCCTCTGTTTTCACTGTTCCTACTGTTCCTGTGTTCCTACTGTTCCTACTGTTCCTCCGTTCCTCTGATCCAACTGTTCCTCTGTTCCTACTTAATTCCTACTGTTACTCTGATCCTACTGTTCGTCTGATCCTACTGTTCCTACTGTTCCCCTACTGTTCCTCTACTGTTCCTTTTGCTGCTAGCCATTTGCTATTACGTTATTAATGACGTCAGTCAGGTCGTCGTACACGAGCCATGAGCCTTTTTTAGTCCTATTACAAAAACAGACATTCCTACATCAGAGTACTCATCAGCCTATTTATATACCAGTTTCGAACATTTTATGCTCACCTAATGCTATTGTTTGGAGGAACCAGTCGCCGCTGCCCCGCTATTTTGTGATCAGCTTGTGATTACAACAGTAACACTTCAGTAACATGTCACATTGGTCTTCGCGAGGCTACATTTTCCCATGAAAACATGCCGGTTTCAATTCGGAAAAAGTATCACAAAACGTGGGGCGCGTTGGGGAGCGATAAAAAATTAGCGTAGAACAAGGTTTGTAGAAACACTTACAACTATCTTCTACTTTCGACGGGCAATATAATGGAAATTATAGCCTCTTAAAAACCGGGTTCAAATTTCATGCTCTTACAGGAGGAATCTTCGGGCTCCACGTTTTAGATTGAAATGAAGAATATTGATTTGTTTTTCTTCACAGAAAAAATCTAAACAAATATTAGCTTGTGAAATCGAGAAAAACTATCTAAGGAAAGAACTGTATCTATTGAAAAATAAAGCATATAACCTGCGAAATTTCTCGACCTTCGTCGCCATCTTGAAAATTTTGAATCCACAATGCATCGCAGTCGTAGTGCCTGGGATGTAAGCGTGTGTTTTGACGATATTGCTCCAGATTGCTCTCTCGGCACGAAAGACCACTAGTCGCTATTTATTTCCATTCTCTTTAATACTCCGGACGCAGTATTAGTAATGAAAGCCTTTCCTTCAGTTACATGCCGTACTTGCCGTACATTTGTGTACGAATGGCTTCACGCAGAGCTGTGTTGCCAGTGATGATCTTCGACTCAATGAAAGTCAGCTGATAAAGAAACAGGATTACAACTGCGTTTGGAACGTTAATACGATCTAGAGAGAACTATTTCTTGAAGGTAAATGTCGAAAGTTTCTCTAAATAACTCGCAGCTGTCGTCTAGGAATGGTCTACTGTTGTTTTTGACGGTGTTTTAATTTCACTTTCATTTGTAATTGTAGGAGGTGACAAAATTAGCCAAATGGTTTGAATGTTGAGTGGGACGAGAAGAATGGCATACAAAACAATTGCAGGTAAATGTAAAGTTGTGATAGTCCATGAAAGGACTAGAGGTAAAGAAATTTGCAGCGACTTGCACCATGTTCGGAAGGCGCTATCGTCGTTTAGATCGATAATGGAATGGAAGTTGATCTCTTTAAGTTCAAGCTTTAATTCAGTGGTTGCCTTGGACGAGAAATATCATGAAATACCCTTTTCCTCCTATTTTACTTACCTGGGTACTTCAAGTGTTGATTTCCATGTTTAAGTTTGTTTCGAAACGACAGGTTGCCTCTATCGTTGACTGTTTTTGCCATTTTGTAATGTAAGCATGTAGAAGATTATGCTTACATTGCTGAAAGGGTTCTTAGTTGTTTCTTTGGTTTCTTGTCCTTCTGCTCTCTTTTTCGGCCCTTATTATTCTGTTTGATAAGATATTTGGTGAAACTTTCAGAGTCTGTAAAAAGGTGGTAAAAATTTGATCTCAATTTGAGCTTTAAACGAGTGCACTATCATAAAAAAGGTTTCGTGACTTTGCAATCTACTTACATGTATTTCGAGTAGAAGCGTTGCGACCTGAAAATAAGTCATAAGATGCCATTTGATGGTTTTTACCTTCAATCCAATACAACAGTATATACCGTATTAAAAAGGAAGTACTGCCACAGGGAACATAAAGCTTGGTCAAAGTAACTTGACCCTAAGTTGACACTAAGTTCAAAAATTTGAATTCCTGTTTGTTGTCTCTTTTCATTTCCCACAGAAGTAGTGAGGAGAAGTTGATAAAATATCAAGCAAATTCATCTTGTGTGATAATATCTGTAATTCTCATGACCACTCTGTTTTACAAAGCATTGATATTACAAGGAGAAATTTGATGCTGATCACTCTTAGGGCTTGAAGGGTTAAATGAATTGTTAAAATATTATTGGTGAAAGCACTTATGCAATGACATAACACATTTTGTACTGAGACATCGATATGAGTAATTTTATATCCCAAAACCATGCTGAAAATAAAATGCTGTGGAGATAATTGACTTTGTTTGCCCTTTTTCCAAGCCTGTAGCAGAAATAGTTAAGTTTTTGTTGAAAACAGTCATGCATCTTGCTAAACAGTGCCAAGCTCAAAGGCCTGCAGGAGAAAAAATGTAAAGGGAAAAAAAATTAATAGCATATAATAATGAAGCAAAATTTAAAGCTAAGAGAAATAAATTAAGCTCAAACATTGATATGGTTCAGCTGGGAATCCAACTACACAGCAACAATAAAGCAAGATTCACCAAAACAGCAGTGTTAAAATCCGTGATGTTTTTAATACCCACATTCGCTGCTTGCCTGGAAAGTAGATATTTTAATACATACATTATGATTACCCACCTTTGTTGCAAAGTGCTTGAATCTCAGGTGAAATCTGACTCAATAACACATGTGTAGAGTTCATACAGGTCATGGAAAACCTGGAAAGTCATGGGATTTAAGAATTTAATTTTCCAGGCCGAGAAAGTCATTGAAAATTAAAGTTTTGTTTGATAGATTAGTTACTGCAGATGGCAAGGCAGAGACAATGTACATTGCAGGCAAGAACAAAGCAAACCAAAATGTACGTGTAATACGTGTCAGGAAAGATGAGTAAATGATGACAGGCCGGACATTTCCATGTGTCTGAGCTTACAAGCAGACGCGTCTGCTCTGAAATGCATCAGTGCACATTAAGACTCATTAGTGTGTATGAGCTAACTCCCTGTTTAGAAGTGTTATGTGTCGGGGAATGGTCAACAAGCTTCAAACTGGTGGATCGGCTTTGTGCATGCCAAAAAAAATGCATTAGGCCAAGTTCAACTTTCGCTTCCCATTGAAACTCAAATTTTTATATACCTGATGCACATTTACATGTATTTTAATGACATATTTCAACAAACGAGGAAACAGTCATGTTTCACATAATCAAAACCAAGCTAATGTAACAATAATGCAAAATAAAACATCACTTTCAAAATTATCTGAAGTAAACCCTAAAGCCCCGTGCAAACAGACGCAACATTGTTGGCCAACAACTCCCAACATTGTTGGATATTACATGTTGTGTCTGTTTGCACTTCCTGTTGCATGTTGTTGCGCAAAGTTTGAAACCGGTCAAACTTTTCAGCCAACAACTGACAACATTTCTTTTGTTCCATGATCATTACTCTATTAGTCTTGGTGACAAATTCTTTTCCGGTAATAATCGCCATCAGGGGGCAAAGGGTACATTTTTGGTACCCTCATACGCATGATTTTTGTTGCGGTTCAATTGTCAGATAGACAGCGGTGAAATTTGATCCCTGGGACTAGCATGTAACTGAAAGTTTACTCCAATATTTACCAAAGTAGACTTGTCATCCAACCAGTGAGTGATATGTAAATTTAGACTTTGTCTGCTGCCTGAAGCTATGTGATAAGAATGCAAGAATGAGCTTCTGGAAGAATAGGTCATTTCCTTGGTTTATCTTGTTTTTGCCGTCATTTTGAGAAGACCTTTTAATAAAATTTACTTTGGCATTTCCTCACATGTATTCTGGCGCAAATGTCGCCGTTTTTCAGCGGATTTAAGTCAAGATTTTGTATCAATTTAAGATTTTAAGGGTAGATTAGAGTTTTGCCTTAGATGTATGAAAGCTTGCTGTGAAGTTTATTCAGATTATGGCTTAACTATGAGTGTGGCTATCTACTTGCGAAACGTGCCAAGCGTGTTAACTATTGATTCTCTCGTAAATGCAAATTTACTTCATTTCTTGCTGATTTAGTCACTGGTAAAATTTTGAGCTCTTTAAAGACCGGCTTGTTTTTTTCAGGATATGAACCTATAATAATGCAATGTGTGGTTCCAGAAAATATCCATACCCCTCCCACGGAAGACTCTTTGATGTGCACCCCCCACCCCCCAGGTTTTTCCGTTCCAAGGGGGTCTAAGATGACCCCCCCCCCCCAGTAATTTCCTGACTTTTTAAACGGGACTTTTTCATGTCAAAGTGGTCTTGGTACTGTAAAAAAACCGAATGTGAATACTAACTCATTTACAAAAATATGGTTGAATTTTATTACAACAATATAAACTTTTGTGAAGGTTATTATTCACCTAAACTTTTAGCTACTTCGCCATCAAATTTGCAAATTATGTCTGTCTTGTTTTCATGTAAGCTTATAAGCTTAAACATTTGGGTTGCAAATTTTAAAGCATCAATTGTTCTACGTTTTTGTGCTTACTCCGATGTGAACATTATGAAGAGAAGTTTACTTTCACTCACCTAAACAACTTGGAAAACGATAGCAAAAAAACCCCAGAAACTTACAAGGTTCCTTTCTGGCTGTTTATTTGTCTACTCATTTTGTCAGTTTCTTCAGGTTGATCCTTATCTAAGGACCAAAAACTGCACTAACACATGCCAACGCGCTAGGTTTCGTGAACATCATCACGATTGCTGAAGTAATTTTACTTGCCAGGTAGCCAGGCCTTCTTAAGATAGAACAAGAAATAGGAACGAAAGCACTTTTGTCTCATCACATTTTTTTACTGATTTTTGTTTCATAACAACATACTTATGTTTTTGTCCTTACGATTGATTGTACGTTACTTTCAGTGTTTTGTTCGTGGTTCATCACCCTCTGAAAAAGTAGTTTTCCATGAACCCCCCCTACCCCTCGAAATAACTGCGTTTGAACCCCCCTCCCCCTCGGAATTTACAATGATCTTCCGTGGGTTGGGGGGGGGGGGTATGGATATTTTCTGGAACCACACAATTACATGTAAAAGTAG